ATAGATAGATAGATAGATAGATAGATAGATAGATAGATAGATAGATATGCAGAACTTGGAGCCTGGAAAAATATAACTAATGGTTTTGTTTGCTAAATGGTTATTTTCAAACTGCTTACTAAGTGTGTATTTCCAAACAGCATCATAATTGCTTGAAAACTGGTATACATACATTGAGGAAAATCTATCTTAGTACTCCCCATCTCTATCAATTGGTGAGTGTCCCTTTGGGGAGCCACGCAGCTTCTCAGAGCCAAGAGAAGTGCAGACACTGCCAGCTTTGTTTCCTACCCCTAACCGATTTCCACAAGTGCTTTCCCTCCTAGACTCCTAGATGCTATAGGAAGCTCAGCTCTCAAAGACTGGAAGTCATACACACACAGAGACACACAACGACGACAACAACAATTAATGAAAAATAGCAAAGACATGAATTTGAAAAAGATAAAGGAAGGGTACACGGGACAGCTAGATTGGAGGAAATAGAAGGGGGAAATGACATAACTATATTATAATCTCAAAAGTAGAAAAATAAATCTATTATGCTAAAAAACAAAGAAGAAACAGTTGAAGATCACAGAAAGGATTAGCGTGAGCCCATAGCTGAAACCATGGATCTGGAGAGCTGGCTCCGCAATCAAGAGCACTTGCTCCTGAAGAGGATCCAAGTTTGGTTCCAAACATGCAGGATAGTTGGTGACTCACAGCCACCTGTAGCTCCAGTTCCAGGTTATCTGATGCCCTCTTCTGCCCTACTCAGGCACTTTCATGCATGTGGTACACATACATACACCTAGACACAGACAGGTATACATAAAAGTTATTGTACAGTATCCTGTGAGTTCAAGGTCCCTCAGTCCCCTTTTGGCACCTGCAGATGTTCACTAAGTTTAAGGAGGTCACAGCTTCATCACCAGCATGGTCCGGTCCCTCCTGGTACACTGCTTCCTCCTTGAAAGTCTGTTGCTACTAGAAAGCAAGGATCCCACTGCCCTTGACAGGTAACATCAGAGAAGCAAGTAGACACTGGTGAGGATAGAAAACAGCAGCTCTGGAGCTTTGGTCTCGGCTATCCAACACTCGTATAACTACCCCCACACACACACACACACAATGGACTGGAAAGCCTTGGCCCTTTGCTTCTAGTGTTTTTAGCTACATGCTTCAGACAAATGAGGGAACATTTGAGAGTGCATCTATCCACAGTAGATTGAAGAGATTACCATGGACAAGGGATGTAAAGTGCTTTGGGCTATACAGGGTAGTAGAAAGAGGACAACTCTGGATTTGGTGTTTCCTGGCTTCCTTTCTCAGGTTCTTCCTCAGCATGCCCTTCCTGTGGTGTACAAAAACCAAGCAGACAGCAGAGGGCACTCTTGAGCCACAAATGTGAAAAACAACAACAAAAACCATTCCCTCTAGACCAGGAACTGTTCAACACAGGGATGCTACAGCCAGTTGCTTGATACTGCCTCTTACCTCTCAGACAGAACATTTTGAGGTACTTTGCTAGTAAACAAACAAAACAACAACTTGATGACAAGGAGAGCTGGGGAGAGAGATTCACAAGTAACTTTTGTGAGATCCTTGTGTGCCTCGTACCTAAGGAGGCAGGGGGAGCCTTGATCCAAGGCTGCTCCATCTGAGATCTCGTGCCTCCTGATAGTAAAGGGCCCTTCCCACATCATCCTGTTGGACTGTTCATAGGAAACTTTTCAAAACCAGCTTGCTGCTGATTTACTGTGACATCTCTCTGAGGAGGAGCCACTGGTCCCCAGAGAGGCTAAGAATACACTGCAGTGATAGAGCAGTAGCCTGTCATTCACTGGACCTGGTGCTCCTCCTGTATCACTGTGAACATGCACATGTGTGTGTACACACACACACACACACATACACACACATACACATAGACACATACACACGCACAAACACACAAAACTTGAGCACATCAGCTTGCACACGCCACTCTTTGTTCAGCTATCGTCATCTGTCTACACTGTGACAAAGCAGACTGACATGCTCATTGTGTGGCTATTGTCCCTTTACAAAGTTAACATGTTTTTTTCTTTTGAAACTTCCCCCCTTAAATAAGAATAGCTGTGAGATTTGAGGTCTGTGGCTGTCCTTAGAGTATTTTGAAACAGATTAATTTCTTTCTGGCAGTCTATTCTTGTGATACAAAAGATTATTTTTCATTGTGTCTGTCCTACTGTCTATGGGCTAAAATCAAGTGATTGCTTTGGGGGCTCTGGGTTCCTATTTGTAAAGAGCCAGTTTCCTTTGCCAAACACTTAGAAACATTTGAACTTGGGTCTACAGCTTCTGATGTTTTCTTTTTGGCTCCTTCTGTAAGTCAGTGAGCTCTGTGAAGACCAGAATTCTTAACTATCTGAAGTCCGGTGCTGAGTCTCCAAGTCTGAAGTTAGTGTACGGCTCATGGAAGGAGCTTGGAAGTGTGTTAGCCAGTTTACGTTGCTACGACAAAACACCTGGAGAAACAACTTAAGAGAACTCAGACTGTATCTTGGCTCATGTTTTCAGAGGTCTCGGTCCATGGTCACTTGGTTCTATTGATTCTAAGCCTGTGCTAAGGCAGAAGGCCATGGCAGAGCTGCAGGTTTCATGGTAGTCAGGAAGTGGAGTAACTAATAAGGACTGGGGATAAAATGAAGCTATGTAATGCACACCTCCAGTGAACCATGTGCTCTGAGCCCCACTTCCTAAGGAACCAATCAGTCGACAAACATGTCCTCCTGTGAGCTTAGGTTCCCTCTGAGACACTGATTCCCACATAGACCGGCTGGCACCCACTGCTCTGAACCATCTGTCTGGACGTAAGTTACAGGTTGTCCCCATTGGATGACTAGCTTTTTCGTGAAGGATTGCTGCTTCATTATTCATCAGCAAGGTCTGGGAGATGACCAGCACTCAGAAAGTGCTCTGAAGACAGCTGTTTAATTAAGCAGTTATAGCCTGTGGGTTTCAGTTTAGGCTCGTGCTTTTTTCCAAGGGTGATCCAAAAGTTTTAGGCAAAGCCTGTGTATTATACTTGCCAGGGAACTGAATACACAGCCAAGGCCTGTCATCCCGTCAGGTGTCACAGGCAGACTTGCTTCCTAAACAACCATAACCACAGTGACAACAGTAATTCTACCATGGGGGGGGGGGGGTTCTGGTGGTGGCAAAACTGAAATTATCCAATGTCTAGTCATTTTTCCAAGTATACCCTTGCGTGGAGTTTGATATTTATTATATTTAGAGATTGTAAATAGTTCATCTCATTTGAAAATACTTTGTGGATTAGAACTTTCTTGCTTTCTGAGAATTCTTACATTTGTTTGAGTGCCTGAAATTTTCCCAGAAGGAAGGAAGGAAGGAAGGAAGGAAGGAAGGAAGGAAGGAAGGAAGGAAG